AGAGTCATCCCTTGGTTTGTCAAAATTAATATGAGGTCTATTCATCTCATTTGCACTGGTTAGATCACTGAATCCTATGTCACAATTATCACCAGTAGTGCTACTGTTCTCAGAAGCATCTGCAGACTCTGTACCTAGCTTAGATCCATCACTTAACTCATTGAGGCTTTTGTGTGTTTTGCCATTTGTGTCAGATGCAAACTCAGATAAAGAAATTGATGACAAATTCCTCTTGTCCTCACTTGGTCTATTGTGTGTTTTAAAATTGTCAGTAGATTTGTTGTGGAACTTTGACACATCCATATGCTCTTCAAATAATCTAGAGGAATTGTAATTATTTTGATGCTTGAGAGTTTCATTTGACTTTCCATTGGCGTAAGGTCTTGATTCAGATACAGGAGTAGATAACTTGGGCTCAGCTACATGGTTGTCACTAGTGACACTTCTGTCTTGTTTGCCTGGTTTCGCTACTGTCAAAAGCTCTTCCAGTTCCAGCAATTGCTTCAAATCAGCAGACTGCCGCAAAGCATGATCATACCCTTGCTCCCACACAGCAATAGCATCCTCTTTCCTTCCCAGCGCAGAAAATGCACAGCCTAAATGAGGAAAACAAAAGCACTGAGTGTGAGTACACTGCCCCAAAGACAAGACAATAGATTTGCATTTTACCATCAAATAAACAGTGATGATTCAGAAAAAGCATCAAGGATGCCCTGAAGAGATAGATAACAAGACATCAACAATTGCATAAAGAATGCAAAAATTCACCAGAAAATCTAAAGACAAGGGAAAGGTCACTTTGATTATAATTCTACATTAGATTAGTAATCAAATCTATTATTATCTTATTACTTTTAAGTCTTATCTGATGACGGAAAACCACAACTGACTTTCAAATTTGAGACAGAAAGAGAGAGAGAGCTTTTAATCACTGTTCTTGAGTCTTGACTATATTATTACATGTAATTTCCAGTTAATTGTTGGAAATAGGTTCTATCCTAATCCATGATCATGTCTATCATAGTAAACTATATTCAAAGAAGCCAAACTCAGAAATTAGTTTTAGCGTTTGAACCAAAATGTGCATTGCGGGACTCAGAAGCAAATATAACAACTAATTTAACCCCAAATTCACTAACTATAGTAAAACCACCAGAATTGAAGCATTCTGGTTAGTACTATAAACTCACAGCCCTAGAACTCAATTTTTGGACTGAAAACGGATGCCCGAATCGATAAAATATTCCAATTAATCTAAATTTAAATTAATATCAAACTAAATTGATTCTAAACAAGAGAAAAATCAAGTGCCAAATAATGTAATTAACAAGTCAAATAATACTGAAAGACTTGGATTTTAAGGATCAAAGAAAATAAAAAAAATACCTTTAAGAATATAAGCTTGAAGAAGCGTAGGATCAAGCTGAAGCGCCTTATCACAGTCTTTAATCACGTGCTTATGAAGCTCCAATTGACTATAACAAAACGCTCGATTGCTGTTACCAAAAGAAATATTGATTAGCAAAATGAAAATGTAACGGAAAAATGAAATAAATTTTGGCAAAAAATTGAAGATCGATGGGTATAAAATCAGAAAAAGTTTCTCACGGACCAGATGTCTTGGATTGCGCAAGACTGAGTGAGGAGCGAGTCTAGGACTCGGATTGCCTTGGACCAGTCACGGGAGCTACAGAGTTTGGCGAGTTCGACTCGCTCGGAGATAGCTGAGTTCATGGTGACTGAGTTAGGAGAGCCAGTTTGGGTCAGGAGTTGATATGAGAAGTGGCGAGGAAGGCGAAAGGAGGGAGCAACGGTGACGAAGAAATCGAGTACGGTGATGGTGGGGAAAGGTTTATGGCACGTGCGGATGACACGTGTAGAACTAATTTTGACCCATTTTCGTTTTGGTCTTTGAGAATTGCCAAATCGGTGACTAGGGATAGTTCCTGGGGCTCGTCTTGAGGTGCGTGGGCTGCAGCCCGGAATTTACGCTTACAAAGGCCACCGTTCGGGAGTTGATGCTTCTCCTGGCCCTTGCTAAAATGGTTTTTTGACTTGGTTTTTGGCAAATCTTTCATTAACATTAAATCAATTATCATTAATTCCCAAATTATGCAAGCAATGGTACTTTCTTTTATTCAAACTATTTAACCTATAAATAATCCAAATTTAAATATCAAATCAAATACATTATCAGATCATATATTATGAATTACTTTTATTCAAATTTAATAACAAAACTTCACAAGTCTAAGACATTATAAATTCGATTTACACGTGTTTTTTTTTTCAATTTTATGTTGAATTCTTTCAATTATATTTATAAGTTCTACAATGCTCATTTTTAATTTGCTAAACATGGTAGTGTTGCCTTTATCTTTTTTCTTTCTAAAAGAATAAACAGGTCCAAAACGGAAGTTTTAATTAAGTAGTTAAAAAAGTTGACTCTACTTATCCCTTGAACGTTACTTCAATTTCCCTGTAAACTCTCAAGCAATTGCAGTCATTAATCCGATGTTGAATGGACCACCAAAAAAAAAAGGATAAGTGGTATTAATAATGAACCATAAATTAAGCATTAATTACTGCTACTCTGCATTTGGAAAAACAAGAATTGTTCCAACTCCAAAAGCACATGCATCAAAATCAATGTGGAAAATTAACTGATTTCATTGGGAGGCAAATGTCAGGCAACCCGACCCGACCAACAGTTATCCTTTTTGCCACGTGATGTGGCCTGCATTTGAGTGCATAGAGATGCTTCCCGGCAATGCAAGTAAAGTTTTGATGCATGTATTCTTTTTCCAAAGAAAAAGCAAGGAAAGAGCACTATTCTTAAAAGGCTGGTGTAGTTATAAACTTGTATTTGATCCTTCAACTATGGTCTTATATGTAATTACTTGCGCACTTTTAATCTAATCTCAGATCAAGACGGAAATATGTAAAAAGCAAGCATGCATTATTCATCGACAAAATAAAATTCAAAATTCAATTGGGTTGACAAATTCCATTAGACTTTTAAATTTATTGGCATTGCAAAAATAATGTAATGGCTTATGCAATTTGATGAGGTATGCTTCGTCATCAATTTTGTTTTTCTTTTCAATTATTAATATTATTTTGTTTTATTTTATTTTTGGTATAATATTTGAAAACATTTTTAAATTATTTAAAAAAATTAAATACATTTTATTTTTTATTATATTTAATTAAGTATTATATTTTATTTTAAATTAAATAAGTCTTCATCATTAATAATTAATTAATTATCATTTTATACTAATGTGGTATTGATGAGATAATAATGTTGATAGTAAATATGTCACATGATGATGTTATTAGGTCACATAAATATGTCATGTTATCATTTATTATGGCATGTCATCATATTATGTCAATGTTATAAGACATAAAATAACAAATAATATTTTTATTAATAATAATTAGTTAACTATTAATTATAAAATTATTTAATTTAAAATAAAAATATAAAAATTTAATTAAAAATAAAAAATTATTATTTTTGAAATAGTTCATGTACTTTTTTTTAGATATCATGCCTTTTTATTTTTTTTCTCCATTATCTTTTGCAAATGCCCCTCAAACCCTGACTCTTCCTTCTCCCTTGCCCTTTGTTTAGACATTGTCAGGACAAGAAAAAAAATTCAACAATGTTCTCAAGTTGGGCCGGATCTTAGATTGTGAATGTGAACTTGGACCAAACACTAAATTGGACGGACCTTGGACTAAAACAGACTCATGAACATGTTTAAATGTCGAAGAGTTGAAAGCAACAATGGACTACCTATAAATATGTCATATTCGTTCAGAAATATTACCATTGCACGGAAAGCAAGCATGTCCATGGAATTTTACAACCCAATGAACCAATGAGGTGCATGCCAGCGCAAAGAAGGGCCTTATATGGTACAGACAACAGAGCCATTGAACCATAAGTCAATGAGACAATGACTGGTGACACAAGAGTTATTATTACAAGACAGTGGTTTTACATTGTATCAAAACCTAGATAACCAGGTCCAGGTCAAACTTATGTTTGATTTCCCATTAAACTAAAAAACTTCTAGGAAAAGTATAAATACAAAATCTCCTATTTCATTTTACTTTTGTCAGCTAATGTGACAAAAGCTATTGATAGTGAGCGATACTAACTATAGCCCACATTACATTGCTGAATTTGAGCCAAATCTATGCTTAACTTTCAACTTGGATTTGACCATTGTGAGATTAAGGTGCATTATTTCATCTAGACATTCACACCTTGCCCTGCAAAGAACAGAGAGAGACAAAGAACTGCTGCACTATTTTGAATAAAATGACCCAATGATGACTCTCAAAGGAAAATTATTGGAGAAAAACAAGCCAAATAAATACAAACCTTTTGATTCTTTTTTCAGTATCAATGTGCACATAAAAACAGATCAAGATTCTTTAGTTGATTTATTTTGAGTCTCAGACCGAAACCAGCCAAAGCGACAACTGTCCCCACTCTGGAACTACCAAAATATTTTAAAGGAAAACAAAAGTCCAAGTTTTATTTTTTTTATTTTTTAAAATACCAGGTTTTTATTTTAAATGAAAATTAATTAATAAAAACGAATCGCTGTCAAGTTAACGTGGCTCCAGATCTGATATCTTCTACTTCATCAACATCCGCTGTCCGCTAAGGGGAAGAGGCTTGAACCCTTTGGCCCGATTTTCTAACAACGAAAGCGCCATGTCATGCCGACTTTGCAAATTGCTAATTAATTAAACTCTTTGACAAATCGTACCGTGGGTCAAATAATTAAGCAGTTTTGGCCACCCCCGGATGGCGGAAGCCCCAACCCCGCGGCCCATTGTGACACGTGTCTAATCAGAGCACTTTATTTTCCTTGGTGCTCAGTCGAACACACCAACACAATTCGGAACATACACGTCATTTTCCTATTATCAAACAGACGAATTTAATTCAACGCTTGGTATTAAAAAGAAAAAAGTAAAAGGAAAAAGAGAAAGCCCCCCGGCAGCCAAACAGTTGCAATGGAATCAGCTTCCTAATCACAATTAACTTCTCAAAAACTTGAGATTAACATTACAGATTATTAAAATTGGAAACAAACTTAACAATAATAATATAAACCTGGTTTAGCGAAATAGTAGTAGAAGTAGTACATTTCATGCCGTGATATCGTTACGAATGTGCCTAAGGAGCACAGGGATGACGATATCAGGGGAGCTAAGCTGAGGGAGGTGACCATCGGATGACATGACTTCAACGATTGATTCGCCGCCGAGGTTTTGGTGTAAGTATTCAGACACGACGACGGGAACAGCTAAGTCTTTTATACTTTGGAGGATGTGACAAGGGACCGTGACAAGGGTGAGGATTCGTCTCATGTCACTTTGGAATATGGTCTGAGCCACGCTTAGGGCTATGTCAGGTCTCATGTTGAAGAGGGTACGGCTGAATTCTTGAACCGCCACGGATTCCAGGTCGCCTCCCACGGCTAGTGGTGCGAACCCTGAACACCAGGCCTTGTAGTTGGCTCCCATTGCCTCGAAGAGTTGGTCCAGTTCTTCTTGCTCGAATCCCCCATAGTAATCCACATCATTGAGATACCTAAACAATAACAAGTTGAATATAAAAACAAATAAGAAACTAAGAAAGGATCGTTTTAGTAACAAAAAATGAAACAATTGACTGGAAGTAATTTAATAGATCTTACATCTCACTGAAAGCTACTCATGTAAGTTTAAAAAAACAGAGAACTATAATATTCTTTTTTGTTTTTACCTGGGGGAAGCAGAAAGCATGATGATTTTGGAGAAGAGATCAGGGCGAGAAATGGAAGCTAAGGCACCGACCATAGCAGAAACAGAATGAACAACAAGAATACAAGAATCAACCTGGAGCTCTTCAAGGATAGCAAGCAAATCATAAGAATAACCCTCAAGAGTAGCGTAACGATTGAAATCAAAGTATTCCGGGTTTGTAGTTCCGGCTCCCATGTTGTCATACAAAACTACGCGGAACTCCTCCACCAGGTGAGGAACTAAGTGCTTCCAAACCGACTGGTCCGTGCCAAATCCATGAGCCAAAACTATGACTCGATCGCCTGAACCCAAAACCTTCACGTTGTGAGCTTCTTCCACGATCCCCATAATTCGTTGTTTTCCCACCAAAGCCTCGCTTTGCAGACTACGGGAAAAGACCGCAAAAGTGATTGAGCTTTCACATGTGGGTTTATTTATTTGTATGTACAGTTGATATCTCTTGCCCTTTTGAAGGCAGTTGACGAGGCAGATGGATAATAAGGACCGCAGATGACGACATTTTTGGAATAAGATTATTGGGTTCTTTTTACAGTCTGCACAAGCATTCACTCCCTATTTTAAATCGGACCATGAAGAGCGGTTTGGGATGATCATATTATGTGATTTGATTGTGATTGATCTGAATTTTTTAAAGTAAATTTTAAATAATTAAAATTGAAAATTTGTTTAAGCATGAATAAATAAATTAATTTTAAATAGAGAATATTTACAGAGTAATATTAATAATTAAATCTTTGTGGAAACATAAATTATTTATAAAATACTAATTAAAAAAATTATAAGATGTTGGGTGAAAAAAAAATTAAAACTATAAAAATTGAAATTTATTCTTTTCTTTAATAGTTGAGTTAAACAATTTCCTAATAGGACACGACACCGATAGGTCCGGTTACCCTGACTATAAGGCTAAGTTTACTGTATTGTTGCCAGATGGAGCTGACAATGAGATCCAACCTTTGATTGCGAGTGGTGGAAGGGACTCTCCTTCTCACTTTTCCCCTGTTCTTTCTTCTTTTTGTTTTTTCTCTTTTCCTATTCCAATTACAATCAAACTTAATTTCCTACAATTTATAAGGGTTTCAAAAAAAAATTCTAAAAATTTATACTACTACTACTACTATTATGAATATTAATGTGTTTTCGTAGATTCTTTCCATCCAAAGTTATATGTTAATCTAATCTCTATATGTTTGATGATGATATTTTATTAATGTTTATAATTTTTTAATTTTCGAGAAACACCTCAATTTGATTGTTAAAATTTAAAATTTATAATTTCTCTAACTTGAAATTTTTATTTTTTCCGATCAAAATATGTGTTTTCTTTAGTACAATTGCCATAAATTTATAAAAAAAATTACTTTAAAAATAAAGGTAAAAGGGATGTGGAAATTTTGTTTGAGCCATACCAAAACTCATTACTTTGTTGGTATCAGTATAAATAATGCCACCTAGTGGGGATTCGTAGGTGAGCTGTTAGTGTGTTAAATTTGCTTAAAAATTTGTATGTACCGACCACTATGGTATTATATAGCCAAAATAATATATCATTAAGCTACATATAAATTAATTAATGGTTCTGATATTAAATAAAAGATTTTTCGATAAAAGAATTCTTTAAATATCTGGATAATATCGTATTCAATGTGCATCTTGTAAACGGCCAAAACAAAGAAATATCAGCATCTTGTATTTAAGATCTGGAAGGTGCCCTCTCATTTTCTCCCTCTTTCTCTCTATGATGTGTCTTACATACTTTTTTTCCTTCTAAGCCCACCAAATTCAAGTGATATCGGTAGTATAAATGAGAAAATTCGTTAATTTCATTCTTGCTTTTAGAAAAGTACGTAGAAAGTGAAAGACAAATTTTTATTTTTATTTTTTACCTTTAAAATATTGTAAGATAAAATTTTGCACCAATTATTACTGTAAATTGTTCAAGGTAGAAGGGAATTTTGAATTCTCAATGTTGTTGCTGTCAAAATATAGTAAATTTAACCCTTGATACATTATCCAACAATAGATGCACATTTACTCCAATTCAATAATGGGATTTAATTTGGCTAAATAATAAATAAGCCATCCAATTATATCAAGAAAGTTAATATAATAAATGACTTATTTGAATGTAATAAAATATAATAAATAAGTCATTAAATTCTTATTTTGAATTAAATAAATTCCTTTCATTAGCCGTTAGTTAACATATGATCAATAATTTTCTATGTCACATAATCTGCAACATGACATGTTAACGTGTTATCTTGAATTCTTCTAATAACTAAAATGTGTATCATGCATAAATTTAATTGGGATTTGTGCTGGTGGAGGAGCTGGATCGAAAAAAAGAGAGATTCTAGTTGTAAGATATCTAATGAGATTGGTTTAAATTAAGAAAATAATAATTAGTTAAAAACCAATGATAATAAGTTTAAAGTAATTAGTTTTTTTAAAATTTTTTGTTTCAAATTCCTAATTAATAAATTTTTAGATTTTTGAATAGCTAAAAAGAAAAAACTCAATTCTTAATCAATAATTTTTGATGCTATGTGGCAGATGATATAGTATAAAAAATTGTTATCCGTACCATTGACCAACGGAAGTTAGTTCTGTTAGTCAACGGTTAATGAAATAGATTTATTTGACTTAAAATAAAAATTTAAAAATTTATTTGAATATATTAAAAAAATAAAAATTAAATTAATTTTTTTAATATAACTCAAGAGTTTATCTGTGTATTTAGCCATTTAATTTTTTTTATCTTCAAAATAAGACCTTTGTCTTAGATGGTAAAATTGGGTAAAAAGAGAAAAAGAAGAAGGAGTGACACAACAAATTCTAGCATTAATGACATCAAAATTATGATGTGGTTCTTATCTCATACCTTGTTACATTTTGTATAAATGACTTACAAAATGTCCCCATCACAATTTCAGTTGTGTTCCTGAGCAAGCTACCTATGTTGTTCATGGAAATATCTAAGCTAGACATCTTCTCATGACTTGTTCTCCATTCATTCAAATAGTGTGTGCTCCTTGTGGCTGCCCGACATCAGTAGGGCCGAAAGGAATTCATCGCAACACCTAATTTTCCATACAATCATTCACTCTGTTTTCACCACTGTTTGTTCTAGTTGCTTTTCTCACACCAACCGAATGGTTAAGCACGCAAATATTTTCACTGGAACTAATAATAGAGTTAAAAATGTTATAAAACTGTACCAGATGATGTGTTTAGTCTGTTAATTCTTTGGCTCATCGTTTTTCAACGTGAAAACTTACAACTCTCTGATCAGACGAATGATATACGTTACGTGGTGTTGGTTTGCGCGGTGAATATTAAGGTAGGCCATAATCAATTACTATAATAGGATATGCTCAAATAGTACTCGGAAATTGCAATCAATTCAACTGAATATTCATTGTGATGTTAAGAGGAAGGTACGCAGAAACTAGAAACACAATATGAACAGCTTTAGTTAAAATTTTAGTGATTGTTTTGTTACCAATTCTACTAGGAAATTGAAGTTCAACATTCTTATCCCCTATCTCTAGGCGTTGCCCGAGCGTACCTACCAGCTACTTTTATCATTTCTTCGAAATTCTATTGGATTCATGCTGCGGCACATTCACGTCCCGTCGAATATGCCGGATGGGCGATGGATAGGTGATGTCAAGGCTTTTTACATAAGGAGGAAAAGATAGCATCAGGAACCACATACGCAGGTGGTCCAATGGGATTTATGGCATTTAGCTCCTTGACCCTTATCCGAGAATATGAATTGTGAGGTTACTTCGCAAAAGGAAGGACCAGAGCTGCAGGGACGTTGATCTAACGGAGGCCTGGACTTTGAAGCTCCTGTTTTTGGGCAACACGTCACCCACTTGTTTCAATCATGGGCCTGAAGAATTGGCCCCTTAGTTGACGTTGATGATTCAAACCCTTTTTAATGTTTTTACCAATTACTATTACCTTTCATGGCATTTTCCCTTCGCCTTATCACCTTTTTTATTCCCTCTGGTGAGCCATTACTGGGCCAAGAACGGTGTAGCTGTTAGTTAAGCTCCAACCAACACATGGGCGAAATACCCCACCAATTAATTGGTTTTGGAGCTGTATTGTGAAGGGAAATCTCTTTGTGGACCGTGCTGGGAACATATTTTAGGATGATGAAAGGCAAGCTTGGAATGGCCAGACATGGTATTTTGTGCAAAGAAGTTGGCAGAATTTAATCATTTATGGGATACCCATTTTCCTTGAAGGAAAAAGTAGCTGGGGCAGTGGAAATAATAGTGGTAGTTTCGTGTGG